ACTGCACCGACATTACTACAAAGAAAATGACTTCTCGTGTCTTGTAAATATACAGAACATTTATCTCAGATTGAAAGAAAATAACGACAACGTTCTACTCAGACAAGAAAGTGCAGCCCTTAAAGATAGCTCTAAATACACTGCAATCTGTAAGCTTTATCGCAAAAGGCTAAACTCTCGTAAAACAGATATACAATTCATCTTAGAAAATGGTGAGACTGCTACTGACCCTAAAATAATTTGTGAGCTTCTGAACTCCTACTTCTCACGGTCATATGCCCATGATGACAACACGTCGCCACAACCTATATTCCATGTACGTTCACAAAAAACTTTAGAAACTATCAGCTTTTCTTTGGATAATATTAAGAAAGCAATCACGTCCCTTAAAAGTTCAAACAACCCTGGTCCTGATATGATTCCCTCAACTTTTTTAAAATACGGTGGTGAAGACATCCCTATTCTCTTTCTTAAATTGTTCTCTATCTCTCTATCAACTGGAACATATCCAGATGCATGGAAAACCACGCACATTACCCCTAGGTATAAGTCAGGCTCCCGTTCAAGTGTCATGAGTTACAGACCCATTAACCTAACTTCTGTTATTTCAAGGGTTCTGGAAAAGATCGTGAAAAGTGCCATTTTTGACTTCCTCTCTCAAGAGAAACTTATCACTCCTTATCAACATGGTTTCATGAAGTCACGTTCTTGCACTACATGCCATTTACAATTTTTTGATCACATCTCACAACTGAAAGATTCCAGTATGATCACAGTTATTGTATATTTAGATCTTAGTAAAGCTTTTGACACAGTAAGCCACCGACTGTTAATATCAAAAGTCCAGTCTTATGGGATCCAAGGTTCTTTGTTAAGCTGGCTCAGTTCATTCCTAAGCAATCGGATGCAAATGGTCAGGTTAGGTTCCCACACATCCAACCCCGTTCAGATAACAAGTGGAGTCATACAAGGTAGTGTTCTAGGTCCACTGTTATTCCTGTTATATTTCAATGATATTTGCGACGTTATTAGACATGGCAGACCTTTCCTATTTGCTGATGACATCAAAATAGTATACCACTCACTCAGAAATGAAGTGTCATGTGTATTTGATAGGATTCAGGATGATATTGATAGGGTTCAATTGTGGTGTAACACGTGGAAAATGAAGTTTAACGTTGAAAAATGTGGTGTGCTATGCTCCAAAGGCATTTCATCCGAACTTTCCATCTCCCTACACAACAATCATATTCCTCGTCTGCCGCTTACAACAGACTTGGGTCTAAAATACACTCCAGAATTTAGCCTAACGGAATACGTTAAATTACAAGTATCAAAGGTTAAAAGGCTTTTTGGGTTTTTATTCCGAAACTTTAAAGCGTGTGAATCCAAAATTATGCTGTACAAGTTATGCATAAGGCCCTTACTTGAATTTTGTCCTCCTGTCATGGACAGTGTTTCCGTAAAAGACAGGTGCAAATTGGAAAGCCTACAAAGGGCGTTTACCAAACGTCTAGTAGGTGAAAATCTTTGCATTTCCTACTACGACAGATGTAACATATTTGACTTGGAACCCTTATGGGTCAGACGACTGAAGTTTAACCTAAAAATTACATTTAGGATCGCTAAAGGGCTTATATATTTCCCCCACAATGAATTTACTTTTAGTTCACCTAAGAAATATAACCTTAGAAATAAATCTTCATCTTTTGAAGTGCCCCGCTGTCATACAAAGTACAGATCAAATTCTTTCACTGTCAGATACCGCTGCATTTGGAACCGTCTTCCAACTGAAATTAGAAACAGTCCTACCCCAAAAACCTTCTCATCTCTGCTGAACAAATATTTTATCAACACCGGGTTAGAAGGCGTATGTGACAGACTAAAAATCAGAGATCTAATACGGCACTCCTCTGACCCTCACTGTTAGCTCCCGAAATCTGTGATCTCTATGTTTGACTCTACTTTCACTATGATTGTTTTCACAACCCCAGTCACCTATTCTCAATCAGCCTTAAATTTTAATTATTTCTTCATTCAAATATTTAAAAAAAAATTTTCTTTTTGCACATATCACTGATAACATGGTATTATGAGTATTTCAGCATGCTAAGAGTTCAGTCTCAAGTTCCAGATGCAAATCAACTGAAGACGACTGGTATTAATATGTCTCTGGAGACTGCCTAATGCTACTTGTTAACACTGTCTGCCTATACGCAAATTAAGGCCCGAATGTTGGTAGTCTAAATAATCAACTATACGGTGAGTCCTAAATAGTAATGAATCCTATCTTACTGTTCTATAACTATAATCTTGTTTAGTCAAATCTTTCGGAACAAAATATTATAAATTACTACTACTTATATGTTTAATGCTGCATGATTATGCACTGTTTTCCGAAATTACATTTGTTTATATCTAAAATGTCGACTCTGATAGTCTATTTTCCTTATACTTTTATTATTGTTCCTCTCCAAAATGCTGTAACAGATGAAACATACATGACGGTCTTCTGAAAGTAGTCACTCATACCATGACTTCGAATGAGTTGACAAATGAATATTTTTTTTAAAAAAAAAAGAGAAAAGTTTGTGGCATATTATAACAGAAATTAAAAGATATATATAAAAAAAAATGAAGCATTTTGCCAGGGCCTTGCACAAAAAAGGTGGGAGGGTGGTGATTGCTAGTCAGCGGATATGATGGTGGGGACATATGAGAACCACCCTTATCTGTGGGACAGCACTCTATTGCTAAGGCTCCTGAGTTCGAATGGCTTCTGCAGAATAAGAGAATAAATAAAATTAAAAAAAGACAACAGAAGTTGAAAATTTGCCTAAAGCTGAAGTTTAAATAACAAACTCCTCGAATGCAAGTACATGGTATGAGTCCCCTACTTCAGAAGGACACCTAAATGTATACTTCAGAAAAACGGTAGTTATTATTAAGCCCTCGCTTTTCTTCTACATAGTTCACGCACTTTGACTTTTGTGTTTAACTCCTATTCAACCTATATAAGTAGGTAAAATTATCATCTTTTTTTCACTTAAACTTTTATTTTATTTTCGCAAGAAAGACTAGAATTCCATCACTAGAAAGTCTCAGGGGGAAATAGTATTTTTTTAAATGAAGAAAAAACAAAAAAAATGATGAACCCATGTTTTTTACATATGTTTTGAATTATTAACACCTATTATATACTTCTGCACCTCTCTGTCGGTTTCCTTGTGTCTTCTTCTCTTTTCAAAGGTACTGCCTTAAACGAAGGTACTGAAACAGTGCCGCTATCCTCGGAATATTGCTAGCCCACCTGGTGAATAACGGAACCACCTCTATCATGAAATCTGCTGACAAGTTCAAAGTTGGTCTCATATACAACTGGAAATGTCACAATTATGGTGTACTTACCGGTGAATTTGAAGTTTTATGGACTTTCAAACACTCTATGAATCATTTACTTACAATTACTGTTCATTCCGCATCTCTTATATTTCATGCCAGCACCTGTACAAAAATGCTACTTACCTTCCACAATTAACGTAATCGTTTATAATTCCCGCGTGAAATTGACATACAGTATTTTTTTTTCAATTACAGTTTTGATTTGATGCTATATCTCATGAACTATTCAGTTGAAAGCATATCTCGAAAATTACCTATTGCCTTATTTGTACATTTCTTTTTAAATATTTCTCTCAAATTTACCAGTATTCAATCTATTTCTAGATTAACAAATCATATATATTCTATAAGTTCTAATTAGTGTACATTTGTTCATGCCTGTAAAAATGGCTGGTTTCTGTTCCAGAAATAAAATTATTATTATTATTATTATTATTATCAGAATAATAAGAATAC